AAAGTTAATGTGTAATATTAATATGCAATATGTTTCATTCATTTTTTTTTTTATTTTGCAATATAAAGTAATCAAAAATAACCTGGAACGCTTTTTTTTTCAAGTTACCAGTTTAGTAACACAAAGCTTTGTTTCTGACGTAGATGATATGCAAAAAGATACAAAGGTAAAGTGTGGTAAAGTGAAAACAATCAATCAATAAATAGATTAAAACATTAAATAGAGCTAAAACATTACTACCAAATCAAATGTTTGCTTGAAAAAATAAAGTCAGGTTTAAAGAAGTGTTTTTTTATATTTTAACAGTTAGAAAGGAGGAAGGAAGATGTGCTAGCCATCATATTCACAGATTTGTAGGGACCACAGTTAGCGAGACATCTGCTTTAAAGAGAATGCTCTGTACACTGGATTAAAATGGAGCTAAAAAGAATTATAATAAAAGCTAGACTGGTAAAATAAATTTTATGTGATGTGGATTTGTGGAATGAGAAAAGACCTAATAACTGTGGTGAAAATATATTGCTATTCAGCTTATTTTTCAAGAGAACACTGTATATCAAGATTATGTCTAAGATATCCAGTTGGGAGAGGAAGTCTCAATGAAAGTACACAAGAACAGGAATCTTATAGGCATGCAGTGTTTCAAAACACATTGTGGCTTCATAAAGACTTTAAATAGCTTAGCTGTTATTTTTAAAATCATGATAATAATAATTATAATAATCATAATAATGAGGCCATATTTAAGAGGGGGTGAATTTTCTAACAGGTGGACTGCCTAAAAAGGCATCACCCTATAACTTTCTTTCTGCTGACATAACTATGATATGTTTTTAATCACACATATTAGGGACCAATATGTGACACCTGTATAAGTATCATAGATGTAATAATAATGTAGCCAGATTGAAAAGGGGGTGCATTTCCTGGCAGGTGGACTGCCTTAAAAAGCATCATTGTATAATTTTCTTTCTGTTGACACAACTATGAAAATTTTTCATCACACATATTTGTGACCAACATGTGAGACTTAGGAAAGTTTCACAGATACAACAGATCTAACAGATGATTCTTTTCCTGACAGGTGGACTCTTGTAACCTTTTTTATGTATAGAACTATGAAATATTTTATTAAATCATGCTTAGGGTCAGGGTGTGTTTTCTGCAATAATTTTTCAGGGATGTACCACCAATTTAGCCAAAATTAGTATCTTCTGGCCAGGGGTCTTATACAAAACCAATTCCCAAAAAGTTGGGATGGTGTAAAATGTAACTAAATGTAAATAAAAACAGAATGCAATGATTTGCAAATCTCACAGACCCATATTTTATTCACAATAGAACATAGAACACACATCAGATGTTGAACGTGAGACATTTTACCATATCATGAAAAACATTAACTCTTTAATAAAATGATGGCAGCAATGCATCGTACTCTATGTCGTAGAATAGGCATGCAGTGGTGTATGTAGGCTACATTAAACTTTTGTATTATTATTTACGAGTCACTGTAGTTTAGAAGAACATCTGGGGTATATCCATTCTGTAAAACAGCGAATCATTTTGTTATTGATGGAAATAGAAGTGATCTTTTGCAAGTTCTTCAAGGCAATATAGGAGAAATAAAAGCCGATTGCCTCCGCTTTCGAGCAAAACACTTTGCGCGCGCGCTCCGAGAGAGGGTGCATCTCGTGGCAGGGGTGCCGAATTCGGCACAACACCAGTCGTCTTGGTCACGGCATTCTTGGACGCCTTCTTTGGTGCAGACTTCGCTGGCTCAGGCATTGCTCTCCCCTGCGAATAAAACTGAAGAATGTAGGGTGGGGTAGTGTAGGGCACCCGCCTTATTTAGACTCCGAAATTCAAATGACCAAGCTCCGCCGTTCCGAATGCTGTCAAACAATCATTGGATAACAAACAACGACTCGCTTGGTGAATAACTCCCAGCTCTCGCCCAACCCTAACCCCTCTTCCTCCTTCTCTTGCTCTTCCTCTCCTCCCCCCGTCTAAAGACTTTCCCTTTGTTAACTAAATTTCCAGCGTATTCTTAACTACTGCGTGTCTTATAAAATACATTTATTCTATCAGGCTTAGTCCAAAGATATAATTTTTTTGGCTTTCATCATTCCATATACACACACACACGAATGCAAGCTATATACTCATCAACTCACAAAAGTGCATGAAATAAAATGATGGTATAATTTTAAGTACCCTTGCGAACCGTCAAGCTACCTTAAGTCCGGCGTTTTCATTACTACTGAATGGGGCATACGGAAAAGAATGTGTAGGTGAAAAAATACATGAAAAAACAATTTTTGATAACATACAAATCTGAACTATATTTATTCTAGATGTATAACTTAAGTCTTAGTTTTTACATTTATGTACCTCTTCTTTAATGACCTTCTTTTTCTGTCCAATTATAATTAACACAACCTTCATTATCTATATGAATTCCTAAGACTTAAGTGCTGAGTTTCTGGTACGTCTACAATAAATTTATTTTCAAAGTCTCCAAACACATTCAAATTTTCACACATTTTGACATGTTCTGCTCCTAACTTCTCAATACGAATTAAATCAATATATTTATTTCTCTTTTCAATTTTATAAAGACTGTTATGTCATCTAAAAGAAATTACAACTTTGCTTTCTTTTAGTCTTAGTAAACATTCAGCGTTCCTTAGTTTAGTAATCAAAGAACATATTGCCAAGATACAAAGAGCAGCACTCAGTGGATAATCTTGTTTGATGTCTCTCATGATCTTAAAAGTGGCTGTCAAATGTCTATTTACCTTGATCTGCATATTTGATTTTGCAAACACATGAACATCTTTAGAAAAATCATCCGGAAAGTTACACATTCTGAAAACTTTGAATAAACAATTTCTAGACACATAACAAAAGTAAATCAAGGGCAACCATGTAAGAACTTTCTTCACTCTCAAACACCAATTCCCTCAGCATGTTCAGATTGTCCCACATTACTCTGTCTTTAATGCCACATGTTTGTTTTCTCAATATAATTGAGTCTAAAATATCACTCAATCTATTCATTATAACCTTTGCAAATATCTTGAAGTCAACATTCAATAATGTGCCTCAAGTTATTAATTTTGATAACATCTCCCTTTTTATATAGTAAGGACAAAACACCATCATAAAATGTGTCATACATAAAACCCCTTTATACACCTCCATTAAACACCCATGTTAATACATTTGACACATCAAAAATACATGAGTGACAAATTTCAGAGGGAAAACCATCTCTTCTGGGAGTTTTTTTCAAATGTAACCGTTTAACAGCAGACACTACCTAAGGAGATTTTACCAGTTTCTGTCTTCATCTTTATACAGTTCCTCACATCACTCTTCTATTGTGTTTCTTACTTCATTAGGTTCTGTGACTACTGTACCATTTTTTATCTTTAATACTGGTGATGAGACACTTTTGACTTGACACCAATTTGAATGTGTAGCCTTATTAAGGAATCATTATTTAAAACATCAACTCTGTTATGTCATTTTTTTTAAATAAATATATCGCTTCATTATAGATTTATACCTCTCATTCTTTTCTCGATTTATAATTTTCCTTTTATATCTCCAGAAATTTTTCTAGCTATCTCTTCTTATAATTCCATGCTTACAAATAGTTATTTTAAAATCTGTGTGTTCAATATCCAGTAATTTACTCTATCTTCATTTTTAAAATTTATTGTAGAAAGAATTGTTCAGTGATGTGAATCTACTAGTAACCTTGTCTTGTAAGATTTTACAACAAATCTATCGTTCACATAAATTCTATTGATTCTGGTTTTACTTTATCAAATCTTGTAAAGCCTATACTATCTGGATAGATGACTCTAAACATGTCATACTCTATCATAACTTGTTTCAAAGCTTTTCCTTTTCTGCCAACTCTGTTAGTTCTTGGGGCTATTTTTTTTTTTTCTTTTTCATCTGTAACTATTAAAATCACCACATACTATTACATAAAATCCAACACATGACAGTGTGTTAACAGTGTTTAACTTGGTTAAAAAGTAGAATTCTCAACTTTGTCCTGTCCTGTGAATAAATGTATTACTCTAATTTTCTTTCCAAATAAAAAAGATATCAATAAACATTAATCTTTCTGGAATGATTTCTCTTAACTGAATCACTAACATTTCTAGTATGAAATAATTTAATATTGAGCTACAGTTAAAGAATGTCAAAGTAAGCTTAGGGCCGGGCCTCAGACTTGCGATGGAGTAAGAGTGAGTGAACTGAGAGATCTGTAGCACTTGGAGCCATTTCCCACTAGGGTTACGAAGAAGTTAGGATAAAGCTTTTTAGAGTTAGATAGAGTATGGGGTTATGAAAAAAATAGGGTAAAGCTAATTAGGGTTAGAAGGAGTTTGGGGTTATTTCCCCACTAGTCAAGTCAAAGTGTATTTATATAGCGCTTTGTACGACGTCACATCATCAGCGTGTGCTTTACTCGCTCCAAGAGGGCTCGTTTTACCCATAGTCAACGGGGTGCTCGGCCGCTCGGAGTTCGCACACGCCCACGCCCACGCCCTCGCCCCGGCTCTCCTCGAACGCGCCGCAGAGCTCTCCGAAGGCTCACGCCGCCGTTTGCCACCGTTTTCTACCGATTATCGCGCCAAATACGCTGTCTCTCGCACGGAGCGGCGGCCGCGCGGCGCCCTTTTGAGAGCGCCTTGCGAAACGAGGCGTCGCTGCGCGCCCATTGCTGGACTCAGGACAAGTGGCAGAGCCTCTTTTAGAGGAACGAGTCGTTGGACGCCCGCCAAGCAGCGCCTTCGCTCATATTTTGCCCGATAAACGGCACGAGAAAACACAAGTGCACGCGCGTCAGTGAGACACTGCTGCACAGAAGAACGGTGGGCGGACCCTAGAGGTTGACGGTTGACGGCGCTCAAACGATTGGTTGTTGGAGGCCGTGGCACTTTAGCCAGTAGAAACGCAGCCGCTTTGGCTATATGAAGAGCGTTCGGAGACCGTACTCCTCATTTCAGTTGATTCGACGAGCTCGATTGAAACGCGAAATGAGTGGAAGAGGAGATCAAAAGACTGCTAACAACAGACACTCGAGGGAAGAAAAAGTTCCCCTGGACTCTGCTGGACTTTTAATCAATGCTACATCATTCTGAATGTAAATAATTGAACTGTGTAATACTGTGAATTGTAGAAATGTTGATAAATGTGCGTTATGTATTTTTGTACTCTGTATTTGAAAATGTGTTTGTATTGACATAATTCCTCAATAAAGTTTGTTATAAAAAGCAAAACCGGAGGTAAGGCTAGAGCTAAGGCCAAGACTCGCTCCTCCCGCGCCGGTCTGCAGTTCCCCGTGGGTCGTGTGCACAGGCTTCTGCGCAAAGGCAACTATGCCGAGCGCGTCGGAGCCGGCGCACCCGTCTACTTGGCCGCGGTGCTGGAGTATCTGACCGCCGAGATCCTCGAACTGGCTGGGAACGCCGCTCGCGACAACAAGAAGACCCGTATTATCCCTCGTCACCTACAGCTGGCTGTTCGTAACGACGAAGAGCTGAACAAACTGCTCGGAGGGGTGACCATCGCTCAGGGTGGCGTACTGCCCAACATTCAGGCTATTCTGCTACCGAAGAAAACCGAGAAAGCGGTCAAGACCAAGTAAATTAGCTCTTTCCTCTGATTTGAACGTAACCAAAAGGCTCTTTTAAGAGCCACCCACCTTTGCGATGAAAGTGCATATTTATTTTAACTTCATGTTCACGCACCCTTTCCCTTTGCCCCCGCCAAAAGAAGAAAACGCACATTTATCAACATTTCTACAATTCACAGTATTACACAGTTCAATTATTTACATTCAGAATGATGTAGCATTGATTAAAAGTCCAGCAGAGTCCAGGGGAACTTTTTCTTCCCGAGTGTCTGTTGTTAGCAGTCTTTTGATCTCCTCTTCCACTCATTTCGCGTTTCAATCGAGCTCGTCGAATCAAACTGAAATGAGGAGTACGGTCTCCGAACGCTCTTCATATAGCCAAAGCGGCTGCGTTTCTACTGGCTAAAGTGCCACGGCCTCCAACAACCAATCGTTTGAGCGCCGTCAACCGTCAACCTCTAGGGTCCGCCCACCGTTCTTCTGTGCAGCAGTGTCTCACTGACGCGCGTGCACTTGTGTTTTCTCGTGCCGTTTATCGGGCAAAATATGAGCGAAGGCGCTGCTTGGCGGGCGTCCAACGACTCGTTCCTCTAAAAGAGGCTCTGCCACTTGTCCTGAGTCCAGCAATGGGCGCGCAGCGACGCCTCGTTTCGCAAGGCGCTCTCAAAAGGGCGCCGCGCGGCCGCCGCTCCGTGCGAGAGACAGCGTATTTGGCGCGATAATCGGTAGAAAACAGTGGCAAACGGCGGCGTGAGCCTTCGGAGAGCTCTGCGGCGCGTTCGAGGAGAGCCGGGGCGAGGGCGTGGGCGAACTCCGAGCGGCCGAGCACCCCGTTGACTATGGGTAAAACGAGCCCTCTTGGAGCGAGTAAAGCACACGCTGATGATGTGACGTCGTACAAAGCGCTATATAAACACACTTTGACTTGACTAGTGGGGAAATAACCCCAAACTCCTTCTAACCCTAATTAGCTTCATCCTAACTTCTCCTTAACCCTAGTGTGAAATAATAACAAGCTCCTTTTAACCCTAATTAAGTTTACTCTGGCTTTTCCATAACCCTAGTGTTAAATAACCTCAAGCTCCTTCTAACCCTAATAAGCTTTACCCTGACTTCTCTTTAACCCTAGTGGGAAATAACCCAAGCTCCATCTAACCCTAATTTGCTTTATCCTAACTTCTTCTTAACCCTAGTGGGAAATGGCTCCAAGTGCTACAGATCTCAGTTCACTCACTCTTACTCCATCACAAGCCAGAGGCCCAGGCCGAAGCTTACGTTGACATTCTTTAACTGTAGCTCAATAGCTTCACCACACTTCTTCACCACAATCATAGGGCCTAGCTCTCAACCTACCATTACTTTCTCTGTCTGCACTGTAAGCCTGAGGCCTAGCTGGGATGCTCATACTGCTTACATTTACTACTTCAGAAGCCAAAGGCCTTGCCCTACCCTGACTTTTACAATTCTTCTTCAAAAACCTAAGGGGTAGCTCTATAGCTACTCTTACTTACACTGTCTATATTATAAGCCTAAGGCTAAGCTAAAAGGTTACTTTTGCTTACTCTAGCTTCATTACAGCCTATGATTTACAATGTGGATTAATAATCCAGAGTAAGCAACAGGAGCTATAGAACAAGACCTTAGGTTTATGCTTTACTCTAACTACTTTCCTACTTTGGCATGAGCTTAAACCATAGTTCTGTAAATGATTTTAATTCTCCAACTTCATCGGAAGTCTAATGGAGTCCTATCAATCCCAGTTCACTCACTCTTATACCATCACAAGCCTGAGGCTCTGCCCTAAGCTTTCTCTGACATTCTTTAACTGTAACACTTACAGCTACTGTTACTTACTCTGACTTCACCACAATTCTAGGGCCTAGCTCTAAACCTGCCATCACTTACTGTATCTACATTTAGGGCATGAGGCCTAGATTAAAACACTCATTTAGCTCACTTTTACTTTCTTAGAAGCCTAAGGCTCGGTAGCTACTTTTACTTACGCTATCGACATTATAAGCCTGAGGCCAAGCTGAAAGACTACTTTTGCTTACTCTAGCTTCATTATAAGCATAAGACTTAAAATACACAGAGTAAGTAACAGAACCTATAGAGCTAGGACGGGTCGACAATATGCGGCTTCATTACTGCCTTTTTGTGGCTCCACAGCAGAATTGAATTTTTAAGTATAAATAAAACAATCCTCCTTTACAGTGAAATAAAGCATTGCTATAAACAATAAATGGTCTTAAACGTCGGAGTTAATGTATAATTGCTAATTCAAGCTTTAACCCAAAAGATCAGCGCGCAGACTGTTGGTCGCATAGCAATGCAGATAACAAGTTTGCCTAGCTAGTAGCTAACGAAAAGGCAAAGAGAAAGATTTAAGATAAACATTGATAATTTGGAGACAAATGGACTTATTTGCATTTACAAGCACTCCAGCTGGTTTCCTGATACGTTTAACATGCACCGAGAAACTGTCAAACACTAAAAGGTCACAAGACGTTTTAATTTTCCAAGGTTGTATGATTTTTGCTGAAAGGACAAAATGGCTCTTTTTAACTTTTGGGTTGCCAACCCCTGAGGCCTTAAGTTTATGCTTTGGTCTAACTTGTTCATAAACGAAAGGCCTTGCTCTGAAACAACTGTTACTAATTTTATTTTATCCACTGTTACTATTTTTAGCTGGATGCCTCCTGTTGCTTAGTCTGATTTCAACATAAGTCTGAGGCCTTGCCCTAAAACTACTTTGACATTTTCTAATTTCACCATAAATCCAAGGCAATATTATTTACTCTATCTACTTTATGAATCCCAGCTGAAAAGCTAATTTAGGCTTACTCAAACTACACCATCAGCTGAAAGCCTAGCTCTGTACCGGCTTTCATTTCTCCAACTTCATCATAAGTCTAATGGCTCGCTATAGTTCTCTGTTCACTCACTCTAACTCCATCACTTTGACATTCTCTAACTCCTACTTAAACTAAAGGCCTAGCTCTATAGCTAATGCTTACTCTGACTACTCCATAAGCCTGAGACCTAGCTGTAAGAAAGCCTAAGTAACAGTAGCTAGAGAGCCAGGCCTTAGAGGTTTACGAATCACTCTAACTTTTTCATAGGCATAGAGCTTTGCTCTAAACCTATTATGTGTTTGACTACTTCAGATGCCGGTCACCTAGCTGTGAGGCTCCTGTTGCTTATCGAACTACACCACAAGCCTAAAGCCTAGCAGTGTACGTACTATTACTCACTCTAACGTCTCGAGAAGCCTAGCTCTAAACCTATCATCACTTACTCTGACTACAAAATAAGTCTGAGGCCTAGCTGGAAATCTCATTTTGTGTACTCCAATTTCTTCAGAAGGCTAAGGCGTAACTCTATACCTACTGCTACTTATGCTATTTACAATACAAGCCTGAGGCATAGCTGTAAGCCTCCTTTTGCTTTCTCTAGCTAATAGCATGCTTCCGTACCTACTTTTACTTAACTCTTTTCATTCATGCTGACTACATCAGGAATCTAAGGCCTAACCACTAACATCCTTTTACTCTAACTACACTATAAGCCTACGGCCTAGCCAGTCACCTGCTTACACATACTCCAGCTATTGCTTGAGGCCCACGTCTGTACCTCTTTTTACTTACCCATCATAAGTTCTTCATAAGCCTAAAAGCTTTCACTCACTCTAACTTCAGTATGAGCCCAAGGCCTTACTCTAAACCTACTGTTGCTTATTTTACTACATTCTGTGTCTAATTTTACATGAGTCTTAAAAACCTTAAGGCCTAACTCTTAACCTAGTATTACTGAATCAGTCTACATTACAAGCCTGCTGCATAGCTTTAGGCCTACTTTTGCTTATTCCAAGTACATCATCAAGATTAAAGCACAGCCCTTTACCTACTTTTATTTCTCTAACCTCATGTACCTCCTTTTCATCATACAGCTATGGCCTAGCTCTAAAACTACTTTTGCTTGCACACTGCCCAGGTATCAATAAATTACTGCTTGCTCTGTAGGCAGCACAAGCTAAAATACGACTTTACATATAGCAGAAAGCTTCAATTAGAACACTGCAATTATAAAACACACTCACGTAAATTCATGTACCTTTAGTCATTTAAGACTTCTGTATGACAGGACCCAATGGCCCAGAGTTTGTGAAACAATGAAGTAACGTTCAGTAATTATGTAATGATAACACCAACCTTAAGTGCAACCTTACTATAGCAGGTATTTAAAATAGAACAGCACAATTATAACCCATTATTAATGTTATATGCCTTTATACAATATCCAACTATCAACAACTGTCAAAATAATGCCCCACAAATAGTGCCTACAGCCTTCTTGTCTAAGCACTGCACTCTCAAGTTAGCAAAACCTTATTTTTACTTGTCTGGCTATGCAAATTTGTGGTGAAATCTATATTAAGCTTAAATTTTTCAAAAGGTTACTTATATGTATAGCTTTAGCGAAATATTTTAAAATTTGATTGCATGCTCTTTTCAGACACATTGTTCTTAGACATGACCAGGATCTTGAGATGTTATATAGACAAATCATTGAAATTTCACTGACAGGTAAGCAATAAGTTTGCTCTTCAAACCTGGAACTTTAAGGGAGAGCTTTGTACTATTCTTTGGCATGAGGACTTTCTGTACAAATTCATAGCAGTATTTCTGCTCATTGTGGCGAGCCATATTTAGTGCATAGATTATTCCAAGAATTACTGCAGTCTGGTGCAACTGATTTGATGTTTCGTAGAATAATGTCTTCATATTCTCAAAGAGCTCCACCCTCTTTTTTGATGACAAACAACATTTTAGTTCTGTGCTGGTCTCTCAAGATATCTTCACCTTGAGTGTCCTGCAAATCAAATCTTGTTATAAATACATAACTCCATTGAACTTCTTGATCCATAGAGTAAGTTCAACTAATTTCTCATTTGAGCTTTTCTAAACACTTATCACATGACTTCCAGTCACCTTTGACAGTTTTTTTTGATC